CTGGAGTGCCATGGCGCGATCTCGGCTCACCACAACCTCTGCCTCCTGGGTTCAGGCAATTCTCCTGCCTCAGCCTCCTGAGTAGCTGGGATTACAGGCATGTGCCACCATGCTCAGCTAAAATTTCTTTATTTTTAGTAGAGTTGGGGTTTCACCATGTTGGCCAGGATGGTATCAAACTCCAGACCTCAGGTGATCTACCTGTCTGGGCCTCCCAAAGTGCTGGGATTACAGGTGTGAACCACTGCTCTAGGCCTAAAGAAACTTTTTTTTTTTTTTTTTTTTGAGATGGTGTCTCACTCAGCTGTCCAGGCCAGAGTGCAGTGGCACCATCTCAGCTCACTGCAACCATCGTCTCCTGGTTCTAGTGATTCTCCCTTCTCAGCCTCCTGAGTAGCTGGGATTTCAGGCACCCATTATGCCTGGCTAAGTTTTGTATTTTAGTAGCGATAAGGTTTCACCATGTTGGCCAAGTTGGTCTTGAACTCCTGACCTCAGGTGATCCGCCAGCCTCGGGCCTAAAGGAACTTCTAAATGAAGTGCTTCTCAAGCAGAAACCAAGAACAAATTCTCAGCAGCAGTGAGTTCCCATGTGTGAGAAACACTAGTGTGATGAATCAAAACAATCTATATGAAAGAGCTTTGGACCAGGCACGTTGGGTCATGCCTCGTTCCTAGCACTTTGGGAGGCCCTGGCAGGAGGACAGCTTGAGCCCAGGAGTTCAAGACCAGCCGGGCAACATAGTGAAACCCTACGAAAAATCAAAGATTAGCCAGCCATGGTGGCACGCACATGAGCCCAGGAGGTCAAGGCTTCAGTAAGCCAAGATCACACTACTGTACTCCAGCCTGGGTAACAGAATGAGACCTTGTCCCCCCCCCAAAAAAAATTAAATAAATAACATTAACCACGTGTGGTGATGCATGCCTATAGTCCCAGCTACTGAGGAGGGAGGAGGCTAAAGTTGGAGGATTACTTGACCCCAGGAAGTTGAGGGTACAGTAAGCCCTCATTCTGCCATCTCATTCCAGCCTGGTTGACAGAGCAAGACCTTGTCTCTCCCTCTCTCTCTCTCTCTCTCTCTCTCTCTCTCACACACACACACACACACACACACACACAGCCGGGCACAGTGGCACACACCTGTAACCCCAGCACACTGGGAGGCTGAGGCGGGTGGATCACTTGAGGTCAGGAGTTTGAGACCAGGCTAGCCAACATGGTGAAACCCTGTCTCTACTCAAAACAATTAGCTGGGCATGGTGGTGTATATACCTGTAGTCCCAGCTACTCAGGAGGCTGAGGCAGAAGGATCACTTGAATCCAGGAGGTAGAGGTTGTAGTGAGCTGAGATTTTGCCGCTGCACTCCAACCTGGGCGATGACAGTGAAACTCTGTCTCAAAAAACAAACAGGCCGGGCATGGTGGCTCACACCTGTAATCCCAGCACTTTGGGAGGCCGAGGCAGGTGCATCACAAGGTCAAGAGATCGAGAGCATCCTGGCCAACAGGATGAAACCCCGTCTCTACTAAAAATACAACAAATTAGCCAGGCATGGTGGCATGCACCTGTAATCCCAGCTACTCGGGAGGCTGAGGCAGGAGAATCGCTTGAACCCGGGAGGCGGAGTTTACAGTCAGCCGAGATCATGCCACTACACATCAGCCTGGGTGCCAGTGCAAGACTCAGTCTCAAAAACATCCAAACAAACAAACAAAAAAGTAGCTGGTTTGTATTAGTTTCCTAGGGCTGCTATAACAAACTACCGAAACCTGGGTGGATTTGAACAAGAGAAACGTACTGCCTCACCGTTCTGGGGCTGAAGTCTGATGCGAAGGTGTCAGCAGGGCCCTCTTCCCTCTGAAGGCTCCAGGTTCCATGCTCCTCTCCCAGCTTCTGGTGTCCCCAGGCGTTCATTAGATTACAGATGCATCACCCCATCCTCCTTCTTACGAATTTTGCCTTCACCGTGTCTGTTCTCTGTGTCTATATGTCTCTGTGCCCAAACTTCCTTTTTGGAAGATTCCCGTCATATTGGAGTCAGGCCCACCTCATTAACCAGCTCAATTACTCCTATAAAGATCCTGTTTCCTGAGATCACATTCCAAGGTGCTGGGGGCAGGACTTTATTTATTTATTTATTTATTTATTTATTTTTATTTTTTGAGACGGCATCTCGCACTGTCGCCCAGGCTGGAGTGCAATGGCGCGATCTCAGCTCACTGCAACCTCTGCCTCCTGGGTTCAAGCGACTCTCCTGCCTCAGCCTCCTGAGTAGCTGGGACTACAGGCATGTGCCACAACACCCAGCTAATTTATTTTAGGAGAGATGGAGTTTCACCATGTTGGCCAGGATGGTCTCGATCTCCTGATCTCATGATCCGCCCACCTTGGCTTCCCAAAGTGCTCGGATTACAGGCATGGAATTTATTTTTTATTTTATTTTTTAAGATGGAATCTTGCTCTGTAGCCCAGGCTGGAATGTAGAGGCAAGATCTCAGCTCACTGCAACCTCCACCTCCCAGGTTCAAGTGATTGTCCTGCCTCAGCCTCCGGAGTAGTTGGGATTACAGGCTCCAGCCACTACATACAAATAATTTTTGTACTTTTAGTAGAGACAGGGTTTCACCATGTTGGCCAGGCTGGTCTTGAATTCCTGACCTCAGATGACCTGCCCGCACAGGCGTGAATCACCACACCTGGCCTAGGGGCAGGATTTTAACCTGTCTCTTTGGAGGGCACACAAGTCAACCCATAACAGGGGTCCAAGAATGACACAAGGTTTCCTGCTGGGGTCAACATGATGGTTCTAGGTCCAGTCATTACACCCGTATTTCAGTGTATAGGGGGAATAAATGTATTTTTAAATTTATTTATTTTTTGAGTCAGAAGCTTCCTTTGTCTACGAGACACGAGTACAGTAGCCTGATCACAGCTCACTGCAGCATCAACTTCCCCAGGCTCAGGTGATTCTCCCACCTCCGCCCCCCAAGTAGCTGGGACTACAGGCATGCACCACCATGCCTGGATAATTTTTATATCTTTAGTAGTAGAGATGAGTTTTTACCATGTTGCACAGGCTGGTCTTGATCTCCTGAGCTCAAGTGATCTGCCCACTGTGGCCTCCCAACATGCTGGGATTATAGGTGTGGACCTCCATGCCTGGCCATATTTTTTGAGACGTGGTCTTGCTCTGTCACCCAGGCTGGAGTGCAGTGGCGTGATCGCAGCTCACTGCAGTGTTGACCTCCTGGGCTCAGGTGATCCTCCCACCTTAGCCTCCTGAGTAGCTGGAACCACAGGCATACACCACCACACCTGACTTATTTTTTTATTTTTACTTTTGTGGAGATAGGGTGTCACTATGTTGCCCAGGCTGGTCTTTTTTTTTTTTTTTTTCCATCAGCCCCGAAGAAACAGGGCCTCAAAAAATTGAATTAAGACTCAGAATTATTCCTCTCCATGGAAATCTTTAGTAAAAGGTGAAAGATTTGTATGATTTGAAGAGAAACCAGAGTATGCCCAGGCTGGTCTTGCTCTCCTGGGCTCAAGCCATCCTCCCAAAAGATCTCTCATCCTCCCAGAATGCTGGGATTACAAGTGTCGACCACTGCTCCCAGCCCAACAAACGGTTTTCTCTGTAACACTCTACACTTCTTTTTTTTTGAGATGGAGTCTCACTCTGTCACCCAGGCTGGAGTGCAATGGTGCTATCTCGGCTCACTGCAAACTTTGCCTCCCAGGTTCAAGCAATTCTCTTGCCTCAGCCTCCTGAGTAGCTGGGATTACAGGCGTGTGCCACCACGCCCAGCTAATTTTTGTATTTTTAGTTGAGACAGGGTTTCGACATCTTGGCCAGCCTGGTCTTGAACTCCTGACCTCGTGATCCATCTGCCTCGGCCTCCCAAAGTGCTGGGATTACAGGCGTGAGCCACCGCGCCTGGCAACACTCTACACTTCTAACACCAGATGTGGAGGGGTTTTTCCCACACCAGCCCACTCTTCAACCCTCCAGGCATCAACTGGGGGGTTCCACAATTCAACTGTGAGCTTAGTGCAGACTCCACAGGCTTAGTCGCACAAAACTGCCCTCCATTTTGGTTGCCAATCTCAAGTAGTGGGTCCCCAGTTTACTCAGACATCTGTCTGACTTCGCTACAAATCGAGGCTCCCATGACCCCTTTTCGCAGGGCCAATAATTTGCTATGATGGCTTACAGAACTCAAGGAAACATTTTCAGTTAGCAGTTTATTATAAAGAATGTGATCAAGGATACACCTGGCCAGCCAGATGAACAGGTACATGGGCCAAGGTGCAGAAGCATCTGAGTACAGGAGCTTCTGTCCCTGGGGAGCAGGGGTGCACCACGCCCCCAGCACATGGGTGTTCACCAGCCTGCAAGTTGAGGTTTTTGTGGAGACTTCTCTTTCTTTCTTTTTTTCCAGACAGTGTCTTCCTCTGTCACTGAGACTGGAGTTCTGAGGCATGATCATGGCTCACTTCAGCCTCAACTTCTAGAGGCTCAAGCGATCCTCCTGCCTCAGTCTTCCAAAGTTTACAGGCGTGAGCCCCCACACTCTGCCTTTTTTATTTTTTATTTTTGAAATGGAGTCTCACTCTATCGCCCAGGCTGGAGTACAGGGGCGCGATCTTGGCTCACTCCAATCTTCGCCTCCTGGGTTCAAGCTATTCTCCTGCCTCAGCCCCCTGAGTTGCTGGGACTACAGGTGCGCACCACCACACCCAGCTAATTTTTTTGTATTTTTAGCAGAGACGAGGTTTCACCATGTTAGCCAGGATGGCCTCGATCTCCATCTCCTGACCTTGTGATCCACCCACCTTGGCCTCTCAAAATGCTGGGATTACAAGTGTGAGCCACCATGCCTGGCCGCACTCTGCCTTTATAGAAACTTCTTCATGTAGGCATGATCGATTATTAGCTTAATCTCTAGCCCTTTCCACTTACCCAGAGGATGGAGAGTGAGGCTGAAAATTTCAGAATGCTAATCATGATTTGGTAATTCTGGTGACCAGCCCCCATCCTGAAGCTATCCAAGAGCCCACTAAGGATGGCTTCATTAGAACAATAAGTCTTCCTGTCACCCAGAAAATTCCAAGGGATTAGGAGCTCTGTATCAGGAGCCAGGTTCAAAGACCAAATGGTAGAACAAAAGATGCTCCTATCACTTTTTGCTTTAAAAACTGCAAAGGTTTTAGGAGCTCTTGCCAGAAGCCAGGGGCAAAAAACACCAATATGTACATTTCTAATTTTTTTTTTATTTTTTGTTTTTTGAGACAAAGTCTCACTGTGTTGCCCAGGCTGGAGGGTAGTGGTGCAATCTTGGCTCACTGTAGCCTCTGCTTCCCAGGTTCAAGTGATTCTCTTTCATAGCCTCCTGAGTAGCTAGGATTACAGGCGTGTGCCACCACACCCAGCTAATTTTTGTATTTTTAGTAGAGACGGGGTTTCTCCATGTTGGCCAGGCTGGTCTCGAACTCCTGGCCTAAAGTGATCTGTCCACTTTGGCCTCCTAAAGTGCTGGGATTATAGGCATCAGCCACCATGCCTGGGCTATTTCTTATTATATCATAATGTCACATCCTGTTAGCAGGAAGGAGAAAAGAAAGATAAACTTAGCCGGGCGCGGTGGCTCAAGCCTGTAATCCCAGCACTTTGGGAGGCCGAGGCGGGTGGATCACAAGGTCAAGAGATCGAGACCATCCTGGTCAACATGGTGAAACCCCGTCTCTACTAAA